CTTTATGCAACATCCTAAATGGCGATTGTCCCTTCGTCAACCTGCCTTAGTCCATTAATCCATATGTACTTATTGGCCTTGTGCTTTAAACGCCTTTGGTACCAAGTGAAGTGTGACAGTACACGAAGGATTACAGTATTAATAAGGGAAGGCGCGCACAAGTAGGCTTTCGATCTTGTAAAAAATCACTGGTCCCCTTTTCAGCAACCTGTGTGTTTTTTTTCCCCCCAATTTCTATTTCCCAAAGCTCGAGTTTTGATAAACAAGCGTCCCGAGCACAGACTCGCATAATGAGAACTGATTCTGCTCCCGGCAGCACTGCTGCACTCTGTAATTTAGCTCGCTGGCAGTTTAGAATCAAGCACTGGAGCCATTTTCCACCTTGCAGGCTCTTTGATCGATGAGCCTGTCAAAGGGAAGTCCCTTCTTCTCCCTCATCCTTTCACGCCCGGCTGCACGCTGACATTGACGCATCTTCCTCGGGCAGCTCTGCATTCCATCACCGCGCCGCGCTTGTAATCACCTGCAAACAGCACGTCCGAGAACCAAGAGGCTCTGGCCGTTTGGCTGGCAACCAAGGGGGAAAGTGGCCGCTGGGGCCTGTCGACGACAGCATCTGTGAAGGATGTTACAAATGAATCGCCCGAGGCCTGAACTTTCTAACTGTGACAAAGTACCATCAGAACATGAGGCATTCAAGGGCCGGGGTTCTGACGCTCTGTTGGTCATTAAAAAAATGAGGCGTTTTTGGCTCTGAAATCCACAGCTTTGTGTTTGTTACCGGAATACATAGTCTCCTGATTAGATTCCCGGGTCGCCATTCATCAACAGCGAGCTTCATAGACCCTAGCGTTTTAATGAGAACCTGAGGGTGTGCAGTGGAAGTGGAGCTGAATGCTAAAGGGATCGTCACCACACTCAGGTGACCTGCTTGGGGTCAATCGGCCTCGTGGTGCAATGTCTAAATCTTTCACTTTTACTTGGAGTCATTTCACTGGGATTCCCTTGGGCAGCTGAGAAGATCGGAACACAGGAGGCCATTCAGCCCATTGAGCCTGTTCTGCCAGTTTGTTAAGATCATAGCAGATCACGTCCCCATCTTGTCTTTATTAATATCCTTTCTTCCCAAGTTTCTTTAAACATCCCAAGTAGGTGTCCCAAGGCTCAGTTGGCAGCACTCTTGACTCTGAGTCAGAGGCTGTGTGTTCATACCCTACGTGTCAGGACTTTGAGCTCACAGTCCAGGCTGATACGCCTGTGCAGTACTGGGAGAAGTGCTGCAATATCAGAAATGCCTTCCTTTGGACAAGACAGTTAATCCGAGGTCCTGTCTCTATTTGCTCAGGGGGAAATTAAAGATCCAGCGATTCTATGGAAAAGAGAAGGAAGTTTTGCCCGGTATCCTGATCAACAATCTCCAGGTTTTAAAAAAAATTGGTCCTTGACTTCATAGCTGACTTAATTTTTGTGTTCAAATTGGTTGCTGTGTTCACTTACAAAACAAACAGTACCCTTGGCAGAAAACTACACTTTGCAGAAAACTGTGAACTCTTTGTGACATTTTGACGTGATAAGGCGCTGGATCAAATGGGAGGATGATTTTTTTTTAACAATTAATTCTGGTAGCTTTCCACATTCTCGCCTGCTGTGTGAAGAAATGTTCACAGGTTTCTAGTGCTTAGTCTTCGCTGAATTCCATGAACAGTCTGCAATTATGGGCAGCTACAGCAAAGAATAATAATAATAATAATAATAATCCTTGCATTTGATATACTACCTTATCACACCTTCTTGACATCTCAAAAATACTTCACAGGATACACTGTAAAGTGAAGTGACTGTATTTTTTTGTGAACGAAAAGCGGCAACCAGTTGTGCACAGCATTGTCCCACAAACAGCCGTGGTGTGAGCAACTGATTTTATTTGGGTGATTTATTGGCCAGGACACAGAGAGAAACCTGTAGATAGCAGCCTGCAGAGCCTGAGGTAATAATAATAATAATATTAATTCTTGCATTTGAATTGGCACCTTATCACTTCTTCAAGACGTCTCAAAGTGCAGTGACTGTAGTTTTTGTGGGCGAAAGAAATCAGAAAAAATATCTACAATTTTTTTTTAGACATCTGTATATTTTGTGGGCGAAACGCAGCAGCCAATTGTGGAGAGCAGTGTCCCACAAACAGGCGTGGATTGAGCGACCAAATTATAATTTTTTAAAAAATATTTTTTGGAGGAGTTATTACCTCCGGAAAAGCGATCCGCCAATCTCAAGTGAGGGGGTGTTCCCTCGCAAACCCACAGATAATTAAAGATCTTTTTTGGATTGCAGTAATGTGATAATGCAAATCATCATTGGCGTTAACCACATCACCCACACGATTTTTCACTCCTGTATATGAAGCTCTTGTTCGAAATCTGCAATTGGGTTTGTTTCCTTTTCAGGAGATTTAACATTTATTGGTGCCGAACAGGGAGGGTGCAAAAGAATAACTAGAAAACTTGGCAACAACACACAACAACAATGTTCGCCGCAAATATTTCCTGGGTTCTTAAGACTTGTGAGAGTTTAAGATATTGGAACAAAACCTTTATGTCTCTTCTGCAGAAATGGCAAACGTGTAAAAATGCAGCCTCTTTGATCTCTCTGCTACATTAGATGTTAGCAGTGACAAGCTAAGGACACGAGTGCAGATTCAAGTTGAAGAAAGCGATACTGACACCACGGGGAGCTGGGGGATGGGAAAGCGTGACGCGCTCACAGATGTATCCACTTGGAGTATGTAGCTATCAACTAGAGAAGGAAAGAATAGGGATAATGAAGAGGCTTCAAGGCTTCAGTTCAATCGGTTTTGAGGAGATGTTAACCCCCAAGGTACGCCAGGCAAGATATCCTATTTCCGCAGTGTCCAACCGATCCCAGTCAGGAAAACAGCAGGAAATAATCCACCTTGATTTGATTTCACACCCTCAGCACCTCTTTAGCTCTCTGATCTTCTACCTCACTCCTCTGCTGGTCCCCTCCGCTTGACTGACTCGTGCTCCGCTCTGCTCTATCCTTGCCGCCACTGGTGGCTGAGCCTCATTGGGGAAACGCCTTGACGCACTTTAAAAAGACCAATTGGATTACTGAGCAAGAGGGCGGTAGGAGACAGAAAGCGTGGTCAAAATGGGGGCGAGAGAGAGAGAGACGGGTGCAGGGGATGCGAGGTGGAAGAATTTAGGGAGAGAGATAAAGAAAATGGGGCATGTGCGAGGCTTGGAGGAATTTCTACACTCAACGGGTTGTTAGGGTATGGAAATCATTGCTACAAGCGGCGGTTGAGGGGTGGATCGATAGAAGCATTTAAAATGGGGGAACCGAGGAGAGGAGAAATAGGGAATTGGAAAAGGGAACAGTAACACAGAAGACAATGGGCAGAAATCCCCGGCTTCTAGGATGAAAATCTCAATGGTTTGACAAAGATGCCAGGAGCGTTGGGGTTAAGGGAACTCGATCGTCTTAATAGGAAAAAGATCAATGTGCATTATATTCAAGGTTGCAATATGATGATATACTTTTATGAAATAATTACCAGCTACAGTCAGATACGGCCTTGAAGAGTGAATATATTGAGGCCGGAGGGGAGCGTGGAACGTGTTGAGCTTCGAGAGGAAACTTGAATGCTTACCTGAAGGAGAAGGGGAATAGAGGGGAACAGAAGAGGAGAGATGGAGGCTTGTGGAATATTGGACCGATTGACCGGTTTCTCTGCCGTTTCATTCTATGTAGATTGTTAGCAAGCGGTGGGGGGCAGCGGGAGGTCGGGGAGAGACTAAACCTTCAAGTAAAGAAATAAAATCTTCTTATATACTTCATGAGCTAACTCCTTGAGAATGGCTGTGCTGCTTCAGCCAGTTAAACTGTAGAAACGCTTCCTCAATCCTCATTGTGTCATACCTCTCCCCAAACCCCACCCGGGTCCATCCCATTTCAAGTTATTTTGGAGAACTTGCAAATAGCAGCAACTGGTGATCCAATGACTTGCACCATTCTTGTATGAATAGCTCGAAGGGCTCAGTAATGATGTTGTCCCCTCCACTCCACCGTCGTTGGCCGTGCCTTCAGCCAATACGCCCTGAAACTCTGGAACTCAATCCCTCCGCCTTGCCTCCTCTCTCCCCACCTTCAAGACCTTCCTAAAGACCTTTTTGATCGTGCTTACGGTCACATCCCTCTCCCCCTGGTTCGGCATCAGACTCTGTCACTGTCAAGCGCTCCGGGACTCTATCCCGCATGAAGGGCGCGATATAAATTCAAGTTGTTGTTGTCGATTAGGGAGGTGGAATGGAGGAGGGAAAACTTGCAGGAATTGCCAAAGTTATAGACAGAAAGAGATAGGTTTTTAAGAAAGGTTTGAAGGGAGGAAATTTGGAAGAGAATTCTAGGGAATAGTGGTTGGAGGTTCCCAACGCTTGTAAATGTTTTCTCCAATGGTTAGTAACATAGGAATTGCTAGATTAGAAAAGACCATCTTTTACCATCCTGATAGTCACATGCTGCAATAATGGAGATGTTGATAGCAATTAATTCTGAATGGATTAGTTTATTTACCATCATGGTTGAAGGCTTTGGGAACCTTAGATCCAAAGTTGGATGCAAAGGAAAGGTGACATTATTGTGTGTAATTTGAGCTCATTGCATCTCACCTGGTGGCTTCGCTATTTCTCTTTCCTTCAATCTGCCTGGTTCTTCCAAACATACTACATTTGTCAAGTCCCAAATTACTCATATACTTTATCCCAAAATATTATTTTCTAAAATAAACCTAATTTGGTTAATTTTATGATTATGGCTACCCATGGGCTAACAACCCAATCTGCATTTTACCATACCGGGGCTCTTGTTTGCGTTGCTCTGGACAGAGATTTTGTGAATGACTCTTCATCAATGTGTATATACGAAACGTACCTGCTCCCTTCCTAAATGTAACTTGTTTTTCCACATTTTGTTTCAACCAGATCTCATGGAGAGGATGCAAAGGAAAGATGGAAAGATGAGAGAGTTACAGGTAGGAAATGGTGTGATTGATATCGGGGGGTGAGAGGTCAAAAAGCACCTTCAGGGAAGGGAGAGAGAATGGGGAGGGAAAGGAATGTAAACCAATTCTTACCATGTCCGTCTCCAATGGTTGAGTGCCTAAGCCAGGTCACGAGGTGAAATTATCTTATGTAACTTGAGCTTGTTACTACACCTCTCTGGCTTCGCTCTTTCCCTTTCCTTGAATTTGCCCTGAGTAACAACCTCACCCTGGACTGCCTACACCTAGGCTTGACAGAATATACTGTAAAGTGAATCGACTGTATATTTGGTGAGCGAAATCGGCAGCCAATTGAACACAGCATTGTCTCACAAACAGTCACGGATTGAGTGACCGCATTTTTTGAAGGGATTATTGTCCCCGGAAAGTGATCTGCCAGTCGACAAACAACCGGGTTCCTACTTGCTGGTAAACAGGGGTGTGGAGTAAGGAAATTAGCCTAAGGTTTTTCCTGCCCAGGAATCGAATCTGGGTCCACTCGCTTGCGAGTTGAACGCGCTAACCACTACAGCATTTAGCATCGTCAATAATAAAGTTAAATCTTACCAAATGCACAGATTATTAAATCAACTGAGCATCATTTTAGGCAAAATCGAGTATGTAAAAAAAACTTAGAAATATGAAAGCTAGAGACCTGTATGGCACTGGGAACAAGGCAGGGAAGTGGCATTGAATGTACACCCTGATCTGAGAACTGGTGTAGACTCCATCGGCCAAATGGCCCACTTCTGTGCTGTAAATGTCTATGATTCCACAGCCATTGCTTTATAATCTAAACAGGTCTTGTGTTCCTTTGTCTAATAGTCCATGTCTTTTGATTTTCCTGTTTCGCTGCACATTTTCTGTGTGCTCTCTGTTACTGTAAGTGGGCTGTGTGGCTGTTTATCTATTTTATTCTCTGTTGAATTCCTATTTTTTGGGGGGATGTTGATTGATTGATTTAATCAGATTGATGGTGTATAACTTGCCAATAATTATCATGATGATATTGCAACTCTCCCATTCTGAGACAGATTATTTTCCCCTCGTGGATAAATTGACTCACCTGATCTTTCAGTCACTGGAAGATACTCATTGCTTGCACTTAACCCAGCACAGGAGGGCTCTATTTAGAAAGTGGGTTTCTCTCTTAAGAAGGGAGGGAGCATTACGAAGCACAAAGGGAGCCGTTGGCAAATGTTCTCATAACCTTGATGCCCACAAAATCAAACCACAGCTCACATCTTGTTCCTAAGATTATTCTCAAATACTGAAATGTAGGATAAACGTTGAGGAGTTCCATCTCTTCATGTATTTATTTTTAAAAGAAGTTTAAAAAAGGTGCTCTTTACCTGTTTATCGCACATGCTTTCTAGATCACCAGTAGCCAAATTACAGGATGACCAAGTCCTCAGAGGGGAGGCTGTCATTATGATTTATTTGTGCCACTTGCAAGTCAGATATATATCATAAATCCGTACACTGTTCAATTTTAGTTACTTGTGATCACTCCTACTCCTGTCTGTGACTCTGTCTTTCACTCCTTCACACCCTCACACACAGGTACGCACTCACACCCATACACAGGCACACACACAAGCACACCCACACACAGGCATGCACTCACACCCACACACCGGCACACATTCACACCCACACACAGGCACGCACTCACACCCACGCTTAGGCATGCACTCACACCCACGCACAGGCATGCACTCACACCCACATACAGGCGTGCACTCACACCCACACACAGGCACACACTCACACCCACACACAGGCACACATTCGCACCCACACACAGGCATGCACTCACACACACACACAGGCATGCACTCACACCCACACACAGACATGCACTCACACCCACATACAGGCATGCACTCACACCCACACACAGGCACACACTCACACCCACACACAGGTACACATTCACACCCACACACAGGCACACACCCACACACAGGCATGCACTCACACCCACACACAGGCATGCACTCACACCCACACACAGACACACACAAGCACACCAACACAGGCACACACACAAGCACACCAACACACAGGCACACACACAAGCACACCCACACACAGGCACACACACAAGCACACACACACACAGGCACACACACAAGCACACCAACACAAACAGACACATACACAGGCACTCACACCCACACACAAGCACGCACTCACACCCACACCCAGGCACACCCACACACGGGTACACACACAAGCACACCAACACACATGCACACACAGGCACACACACAAGCACACCAACACAGACCTACACATAAACACGAACTCACACCCACACACAGGCACTCACTCGCACCACATACAGGCACTCACTCGCACCACATACAGGCATTCACTCGCACTACACACAGGCACTCACTCGCACCACATACAGGCACTCACTCGCACCCACACACAGACACGCACTCACACCCATACAGGCACTTGACAGGCACTCACTTGAACCCACACACAGGCACTCACTTGCACCCACGCACCCAGACACACAAGCACGCACACACACACAAGTATGCATTCATTCTAACACACACAGGCACACTGTCAGACATACGCACAGGCAATACACCCAGATACACACAAAGGTACGCACTCGTACCCATACACACGCAAACACCATAATTTTCCCTCACCTTATTCCTGACTTCAAACTGTTAACTTTTTTCTGAGCTCACTACACCTCCTGGGACTGCACGTGCCCAGCTTGTGATTGAAGGACCCGCCTTTGATTCTTTTACTTTGAAGGACACAATTACATTGAGTGTAGAAATCTCTACCTGATGAAGAGAAGGAGCCCGTGAAACAAGTCTGGAATACATGAAGGCAATTTTAGCCCTCAGCCCACCACCACCCATTAATATAACAGTTAGCAACAACTTGCGTTTAGATAATAATAATAATCCCTCTAAAACCAAAAACAATAATAAATTGGTCATTTTCAATCTACGATTGTTTGTGGGCCATTGCTTTGCGCAATTGGCTGCCGCGTTTGTGCACAAATATACAGTCAATTCAATTCACTTTACAGTGTTTTCTGTGAAGCTCTTTGTGACGTCCTCCCGACGTGAAAAGCGCTATATCAAATGCAAGGATTATTATTATTATTATTAGATACTGCCCTTCACATAGGGTAATGACTCAGAGCGCTTTACAAAGACATGGTCTGACACTGAGCAGAGAGGAGGAAGGGTATTTAAAGACAGATATAGAGGGGGTGAGATAGAGGAAGAGAATTCACCCACAAAACACAGTCAGTACACATTAGGTAAAGCATAAGTATATTAGGTAAAGCACTTTGAGACACCCTTCTGATGTGAAAGCTAAGTATTATTATACTATTATGGTTCCAAAAGATAGGATTGTAGGATCTGAAGACTTAAGTGCTAAATCAGTATGCTTTTATAAGTAAAGAAAGAACTTGTATTTTTATAGCACCTTATCTTGAAATGTCAAGAGTCTCGTAGTAATTACTGTCAAGTGTCCATTTTTATAGGCAAATGTCGTTGCTAGTTACACCAGCCACAACCCAAATACAACCTTTTTGTTAGGCTGATTTTATCTGGAGTATTGTTGGCCAGGACACAAGGAGAAACTTGATTCTCTATTCCAACAGTTTCATCGGTTCTTTAAAGTCCATCTGAACAGGGTTTAATGTCTCAACCGAAGAACTGACATTGCTCCAATTTACTACATTGAAATATCTGCTTCGACTGTGAGGTCAAGTCCTCAGATGGGGCCAGAACCCACAACTTTTTGACCCTGAGACAGGATCTTTAACACATGATCCAGGCTGCAACCCACACAACAACAATGTTGAGAACTGAAGCAGAGCAAAATGATTGACGAGTGGAGATGTACAGGTCTTTCTTGTGGAACAGCGTTGTGCATCGGCCACCAGTGCAGGCCCTAGTCACTGGTTAGCGAGCAGGTCCATTGTTTGTTTTTTGTTTCCCACAGGATCGGTTTGTGGGCTTGGAAACGGTAAGTATGCGATGCTTTGCGTTGGCCGCTAGTGTGTAGTCACGCTTGCTTCTGTCTGCACGTGCTTGTGTTTGGATTAACAGATCAGCACACCCAATAGGATGCCTTTGCTTTCTGAAGGGTTTAGTGGTTCTGCAAATTCATTTTATCTTGTCTGTTGATACATGTGGCTGCAGACTGCTTGAGCCTTAAACAACTTGCACTTGGGTAGTGCCTTTTGCATAGATAGCTTCTCGATCAACTAAGGGCAGTAATGTAGTTGGCACCAATATCCAACCCAGAGTGACAGAATGTAGGTCAGTTACATCTCTCCCTTTTCACCCTCTCGGTCTCATCTCTCTCTCTCCTGGCTTTAAAAGTTGCTATGAGACCTGAGATCGGATAGTCTCAGGCTAATCACTTAGTGAATGTGCATCATGATTGTTCAAGGCTGTCCATCATTTGGCAATTATTGTGTTTAGTGGCTGCTGTGAGAGTCTGGAATGGGAATTGGAAAATCATGTGTCTTGGGTACACGTGCATTTGCACACAGTTTGCATTTGGCACACAAAGGAGCCAATTGCAGGTGGTTATGAAGAGCATTGCCCTGTTGTTCTCCCCTGTTACTGTACAGGCATTTCTGTTATGGGTATTGAATGAAATGTACATTGAGCTTTTGAAAGTAGACAATTAAGCAAACAATTAAGCAGCAAAGTAGACTAAGACCATAAGGAATTTCTGGGTCTCTGCCCCCAGTAGAATTTAACTCAACTGCACCTCGTGGACCTCCTGTTAAAGCTGCGAGGATGTTTTCCACATATGCACACATAACTGCCTGGTTGGCAGCTTGCTGAGATTCTCTGGCATGTTGATAATTAATCTTTGGGGCTAATGAGGAGGAATAGAATCACATCTGTGTTCGCAATTGATGGTTCAACACAAGCCTTCCAAACCGCTTGGCTCGATTTTGTGTTCTTATCGGGTTGTGAAATCCGATGGTATAAATGCAAATTGAGGCCGCATTGCGATTATTATTAATTTACTTTGCCAGCATGATGAGTGAGGCGAGTAGTTTTTCTTTATTGTGTTACTACATTCTATCAGATTCATTACCTCTGTGTGTGTGTGTCCTCATTTCTGTAAAAGTATAAAGTTCATCGAGTTTTTCTTTTAAAAATCATGTTCGTATTTCGTCAAATCCTTTTAAGCATGATTGAAGTTCACACTAGAATGAAACTCATTCCTTTCTCCTAAACTACATACGGCTAGTCATGAAAGAATAGAGAGTATTGGCTATAACATCTGTAGTTATTGAATTAAATGATGGAGCCATTGACTTCCCCCAAATCCCTCCCTCCTCCGCCAAGCCTTTTCCACTTATCTCACTCAAGTTAGCATTATTCATAACCCACTTAAGTTTCATCCTATCCTCCCCTGTCTTGTACATCCAGCTGGAGGGCAAAAGCTATCAGGAGAAGCAACCCTGGTAGCTAATAATAAAAATAACCCTTGCAAATTAATATAGCACCTTACCACATCTTTGAGATGTCTCAAAGTGCTTCACGGAATATACTGTGAAGTGGATTGACGGTGTATTTTGTGGGTGAAACTCGGCAGCCAATGGCTCACAGACATTTCTTCCTCTCTGACTTCGGGGCCCTGAGACCATTTATAGCGACTGCTGCTATTAAGAAGAGTTACGAATCGTCCTTGTTGATCCCTGATCTGTTTGTGAGGCTTCAAGTCCTTTTGAAGGTAAGAGTGCCTAATTCTGCACTCTCCATGTGACTTGACTAGTCTATCTGTGTGTGGATAAATTCATGTGGATTGTGAAACAGGCTCCCGAGAGAGACGGTTGAAGCAGGAAATGTTGATTCCTTCAAAACATAGATTAGATCCTTTTCTTTTAGGAAATAATATTATGGGATATAGTACATAGGTAGTTCGGGCCTTGGTGGCATGGGCTGTGTATAAACGGACTGTTCAATTTGTTCTGCGTCTAGAGCACGCGCATGGCCTTGGACCATCTTGAATCCGTGCCGGAGAGGCTGAGCATTCTGGAGGATTTCCAAGATTTGGAGGTAAAGATAATTTTCTCTTTGTGTGTGAGCGAGGGAGTGTGTGTTTGTGTGTGTGAGCGAGGGAATGTGTGTATGTGTGTGTGAGCGAGGGAGTGTGTGTTTGTGTGTGTGAGCGAGGGTATGTGTGTGTGAGCGAGGGAGCGTGTGTATGTGTGTGTGAGCGAGGGAGTGTGTGTATGTGTGTGAGCGAGGGAGTGTGTGTATGTGTGTGTGAGCGAGGGAGTGTGTGTATGTGTGTGTGCTTGTGTGTGTGTATGTGTGTGTGTTGTGTGTGTGAGCGAGGGAGTGTGAGTGCGTGTATATGTGTATGTGAGCAAGGATGTGTGTGTGAGAGGGGGTTGTGCGTGTGTGTGCACATGAAGTGGTCATGTATGTGCTTTTGTTCCCAAAGACAAACATTCCCCAGGCCCCCCCCCTAAAAAAAATTATTTTGATCAATGAAGGAGCATGAGCCAGGTCTGAGGCCTCAAACACCATCAATGGAGACGTGAAAATTGCAATAGAACGTTCAAAAGCACCAAAAACTTTAGAACTTCCCTCACAAGTCCGATTTCTACCATTGCACAGTCGGTTATTGGCATTGTTTGTTATGCACCATGTGAAAACTATGTGCATTTGCAGCTGTGTTATGCGATTTGCCTTCACATATCTATCTCAGTGTCCAACAACTCCTTTGAATATCCAGGCACATATCTAGTTCCTTTTTGAAACCCTTTATAGCTTTTTGAAACCCTTGTCCTACCACCTGTGCTGGTGTTATGCCGCACATGGCCATCCTCTTCCTACTATAAACAAGGGTCCCCGCACCTTTCTATTCTCTTGTTGGCTTATTATGGTGAAGAATCACAGAATGTTTTTAGCAATGAAGGAGGTCAGTTGGTCCATCATGTCTGTGCTATTATAGCTCCCCCACTGCTCTGCTCTGTTAAGATGTAAGCCTCCCCAGTCAGAAAAACATGGTAAAGGTACTGTTGCCTACATAGAGGAGCCCTTTGAGGTGGTAGCGTTCCAGCGTCACCTCGGTACGAGATTTTAATTAATCTCCTTTGGCTTGTCAGTCTCTTCCATGTTGTCTACCTCATCACAACAATACTCATCGTTGAAATGCAAGTCCTAACTTTTAAAAGCAGCCCCAATTATGAGCCTAACTGCAATCCCTACTTATAAAACAAATTGTCTCATATAGGTTGAAAAACTATTTGGTGTTTAGCTGGCTGTCTGGATCCATAAAGAGAAGTGATGATTTTCATTTCTGAGGTTGGGTTTTGCTAAGCGTTTGTTTAGTGAAGGCGTTCATTGCAAAACAATTGGTATTTCCTAGACTTTGCTAGGTCTTTAGTCCCACCACTGTGCAGAACTCCGAGACTCTATCCCACCTGAAGGCTGCTTAAATAAATAGAAGCTGTTGTTCATAGAATCATAGAATTGTGCAGCACAAAAAGAGGCCATTCGGCGCATTGAGTCTCTGCCGACTCTTTGAAAAGAGCAATGTAATGTCAATCCCACTCTCCAGCCCTTTTCCCATAACCCTACAAACCCATCCTCCTCAAATACCCATCCACTGCATCCATCCTCGTAACCTTCTCTGCTCCAATGAGAATAATCCTCGCCTCTCTAGCCTTTCCTCATAATCAAGGTCCCTCATTCCTGGTACCATCCTCGTAAATCTCCTCTGCACCCTTTCCAATGACTTAATATCCTTCCTATAGTGTGGTGCCCAGAACTGGGCGTAGTATTCTAACTGAGACCGAACCAGTGTTTTATATAGGTTAATCATAACCTCCTGACTCTTGTACTCTATAGCCCTGTTCATAAAGCCTAGTATCCCATATCCCCTTTTTACAGCTGCCACCTTCAAGGATTCATTTACCTGAACCCCCAGGTCTTTTGTTCCTTCATCCCCCTTAAGATTGTATTACCAGCCTATATTGCCTCCCCTCATTCTTTCTGCCAAAATACATTACCTCGCATTTCTCTACATTGAAACTCATCTGCCATGTGTCTGCCCATTTTACCATTCTGTCTATGTCTTCCTGCAGTCGGCTCCTATCCTTCTCACTGTTTACCACCCTACCTAACTTTGTGTCGTCCGCAAACTTGGAAATGGTGCTTTCTATACCCAAGTCCAGATCATTTATATATATTAAGAAGAGCAGTGGGTCCTAATACCGATCCCTGGGGGAACACCACTGTACACTTCCCTCCAGTCAGAAAAGCAGCCGTTCATCACAACTCTCAGCTTTCTGTCTCCCAGCCAGTTCTGGATCCGCGGCCACTGTCCCTTTTATACCATGGGCTTCTATCTTTCTTACAAGTCTTTTATGTGGCACTTTGACAAATGCCTTTTGACTACATCAACGGCACTACCTTTATCCACCCGCTCCGTTACCTCATCGACAAATTCTTAAAAATTGGAGACGTTGAAAGTACACTTGTCTCTCCAGATGTGCCGGCATCATCAAATGGCTTACATAGAGGGCTGGAGCAACAGCTGCTTGAGATCAGGCACTCAGACTCATTTAAGAAATGGTTTGGGTTTTAATGAGAAGACAACGTACTTGGTTTTGTGGAAGGATGAGATCAATAGACTTTGTTCATCCGAGGCTTTAGTGTTTATGTGTAGATTATTCATTAGAATAAATCTAGTGCAATGAAATTGCTATAGATTCCTGTTAGCTTGCACTAGGACTGTATTAGCACTTGTTTATTATCAGTGAAGAGCAAATATTGATATGTTGAGTACAGTTGAACCCTGATAAATTGCCACTTTGTGAAGCAGTTTAGTTACAGGGAGTGTTCCATACAATGGAAATGACTGTTAATGATGCATTTACAATGCTAGCTCATGCAAAGTCTCGCTAGCTTGTCCATCTTTTTTGTGGAATTCTATCTCCGTGTAGTGTGTCACAGTGTAGTGTACTGTGTGGCCATGCAGTGCTGAAGGGTTCAGTTCTGCTGAGTAGAACGACACCAAACAGGGTAGCAATTGTGGTGCTAAAACTGCCTTCCGCACCCCATGGATTAGTGAGGGGACAATGAGCCAGGCTTCCCACTCTGTGTTGCTTCCCCTACTAGAAAATACAGATATGTGATTCCCCCCACCCCCCCACGTAAAAATATCCCATCATTCGGTGGCAAGATTCATAGATAAAGAACAATGATGCAAAGGAGGGATCTGGATCTCAGAAATGAGTTCAATTCATTCAGTAGAGGAGGAGATTGGCGCTGCACAATGCTCGTCAATTATAGTCACAATAGAGGCTCAATGCTAATGGTCCAGTGAGCTTCTTGACAATAGTTGGCGGTAAGGATACAAACTGTTTCTGATGGAAACCAACCGAGATTTTGGTGAGTAGATAACCAACCGAGATAATGGTTTATTTGACTTGTAAACTAGGCCATTGGACGTGGAGGCCGCCTCACCCACTGTCAAATTGCATGTTCAACAGACTCCTCAAGAATTCTTTCCTTTCAACACCAAAAGAGTACTACTTGTAAGAACCTGTTTGGCATTGATTGCTGAGTTCAGGCTCATTTGGTTGCTGAAAGAGATCAATTGAATAGCGCTGAGCAGACGGAAGATGGCTTGATAATGTTTCAAAAGCTGAATTTCATACTGAATTGAAATGCAGGCCGCTAGAAGGGTTAACACTTCAATTTGATATAGCGGCTTATAACGTCTTTGAAACGTCTCAAAGCGCTACACAGAATTTAGTGTAAGCGAATTTTCTAGGCGAAATGCACAAAATTCCACCCTCCTCCAATTTCCCCCTCCCCCAATTCCATCCTCCCCCCCAATGTGTGCTCACTCGGGCAACAACATCTTGCATTTACATGGCATAGTCACCTCTTACAGCGCTTTGCAAGGACTGGATTAGACACCGAGCAAGGGAGAGGGTGGAAGGGGAAGGTGTGTTGGAAGAGGCAGTGCTCACTCAATGCCCAAAGAAGACCCAAGATTGGATGGTTTTGCTTTACCTCCAGCCCAGGGTTAGCCAGGCCACTGTCCCCAATGACATTACATTTTGATCCCATATATAATTCGGAGCTGGCGAGTTGGAGCACTCTGCTCTTTTCCAGTCCTCTGTGTTGCTACGTTCCTTTGTGGTGCTTTGTAGCTAAAAGCCTTGCTGAGTAAAAGTTCAGGGCGTGCCTGGCTCTTTGTTGTGTAAAGTGCTGATGTTAGCTATTGAATCAGCCACTTAATATTAATCATGCGAAGAGCACAGTTGCTACTGATAAAGCGTTCCGACAAAGCATCCTTCTCTTTACCAGGAGTTTCTGGAGCTCAAAATAGCCAGAATAAATCTTATTCGTCACGGTGTAGAAACTCTCTAGGTCGTACGGTTTGACCTTTAAAGGACAATGGGGTGGGGTGGTGAAAAAAGGTTATCATTTCCATCTCCTTTAAAAGACGCTTGCAGATCAGCCCCTGAGAATTCACCCAGGATCTTGAAAATCCTTCAGTAATAATCCCTGTCGTTGCCTATTGTGGTCACTTCATTGTTTTTATTGTATGTTAATGCTGAAAGACTTTACAACATATTCTGTGAAGCGCTTCGAAGCGTCTCAATGACATGCAAAGACGCGAAATCAAATGCAGGGATTATTATAATTTGAGGTGATTGTGTGAATTTTTAAAACTTGCAAATTGTTACATTTTAATTACGAGACATTTATTTCTGTGACGTGAAAGAGGCTCCTTCAGGATCTGGCACTTGGCTGTGTGCCACAGCTGGAAGCTGAGGTTATTCATAGACACAATATGAAAGTACTGTACTTAGCCAGAAAACAGAAGGCACTGGCAGAGGTGATGTAATAATAAAATAATAAGTCTTGCATTCCGTCATTGAGACGTCTCAAAGTGCTTCACAGAATACACTGTAAAGTGAATTGACTATACGTTGTTGACGAAACGTGGAAGCCAATTGCGCACAGCAGTGTCCCACAAGCAGCCATGAAGTGAGTGACCAATTTTATTTATTTTTGGAGGGTTTATT